TCAGGAAGTCCATTGCTTGAAGCAAAGATTAAAATACTGTGATACTTCACTTACAGGTAAATAGATATAACATGCACTTTGGCCTTCACATCTGTCTTCTGAGGTTTGAAAGAAAAAATTCCTCATCTGCACTGGGACTTTGTTTCCGCAATTTTCCACAACTCTACCACTAATGGTAATACTGTGACATCTCAAATTTACTGAAATTACTGATTTCCAGTCATTATTTTAACAACTACCATCTGAAAGAGGTTAGATGGTTTCTATCTGAAATGCTAATAACTGCCTGGAGTCTTGTCTGCTTTTACCTTGATTCCTCCTTCCATTTGAATAACTCAGGGGAAGGAATAATGGGAATTTTAATAAAAAATTCTGCACCGTAAGTACAATCTCCGCCATCCATCTCAAACTCTTACATCAGGTATGGGATTACTGCTGGATACATGTAGCCTATTGCTTCCTAAAGTTTTTGTATCTGTTTACTACACCACTACTAGAAGTATTATTATTGATAATAGTGGTAGCAATACTGCAATATGCTGGGGGTCTGCCATTGAGATTAATCTTCTCTAAAGACTCAGCAACAAAGAGCTGTTTCCATGAAGATCATATGGTCTTCATGGTCTGGTCTTACAAATGGCAGGAAATATTTCTCACATCCACTGTGAATCCAGTCTCCTAAGAAACACATGCATTCTATAGTACAAAAGGCATAATTACCCTATAATTATATTGTAGGTACTTTTTTATCATAAGATTTCCACTAATCTATATAATGAGGTACTTCATGGACTGGCCAAAAATAATTACAATATAAAATGAAATAATTGATACACCTGCATTTAAAAATATACAGTTGGATCCTCAGCTGAGTTAAATCATTATCTCCCTGATGATATCAGTCTGGTTCCTGTGCATTAAAAAGCAAATCATGAGAGCAATAATATCTCAATTATGTAGTTAACCTTCTGGTTATATTAATTAGTGATGATTAGGCATGGGAAACCATAATTATGTCACGTACATAACACCCCTTTGAAACTGCGTTGTGAATCCAAACACAAAAGGCAGATGTGAACATTTAACCAGGGCTAGCACAAACCTGAAACTCAATTATTTCACCCTCTGTCTCCTATCTGAAACACAACCAGTGGTGGCAGCTCTGCTGGTGTCAAACTTACACCAGAAACTGCAGGTTTTATTTGTCCTAGAAGATAAATGCAAGGTAGAATTGCCCCATATTCTAATTTCATGTGGTAGCTATTAAAACCTTACTAAAAAAAAGCGAACAAGACAAATAAAACAACTAGGTCCAGTTCAGTTCCTAAAGGAGGAAGCCCTGAAACTAAAGAAGCACCTTTTCATTAACTCAAAATACTTATCCATTTGTCTGGGCTAAAAATCAGTGTTTCTTGCTCCTGTTTGCAGGAGATCCTGACACCAGACCAATATTTGCACAGGATTTTTCTGAAGAGTTGCTCCTCACTGACTCCAAAAACGCAGTCATAGACATTACACTGAGGAAACTGGTTTTCCTGAGGCAGCTGTCTGAGAAAACTGTGGTATTGGGAAGAGGGAGCCAGAGCAAGCAGGATTTTCCACCACTGACCTCATGCCTAACTTAAGATAAAGAAGAGAAAAGCCAGTCTGAGCTAACACTCTTCCCCCAGTATATCAGAGATGTGATTTATCCCAGCAGACCATTCCCTCACAGCAGGGCTACAGTAAATAATTATGGTGTAGGTCATCCAGTCTAAATTTAGAAAAACATTAAATATTTTTATATAGGCTTCTCTCACCTACTGAAACCCACAGAAGCTCTGCACTGCCAGAGGAATTGTGGACCTAAACATCCAGGGTTATTCCTGCCATTCAGCAGGCAGCATCCTACCACCTCTGCAGGGAAAAGGACAAGCACAGAAGAACACCATAGAATTTCCATTAAATTAATTCTTTGAAAAGTGAATGTTAGAAGAATCTGTATATATTTGACCAAATATATATACTTTAAATGGACAGTTTGCAAATGAAGTATTCCAAAGTCAGAAGCTGCCAGAATTAAAGCTGCCTGTGTACTCTGCATTGTACTTGCAGGGACTTTGTCATTGTTATTGCCTGGTTTTATTTTTTTAATTTAAGTGACTTGACTTCAAAAGTTTGACTTGCAAATCTGGCATTTGAAGTTCAGGGAAACCCCACCTTGCACACTTTTTCATCTATATTCACTCAATTATTATTTGATGTGTTCTTTGCTTTCTGCTGTGCCAGTAGCAAGGGACACCGGTACAATATGGACCAGAGTTCTTTATTGACTCACAGAATTAACAGACTTGAGGTCTTCAGTGGATCTGCTCTGACATGTCAGCTCAGTTCATAACAGACTAGGTTCAACAGAAAATGCTGCCCTGTGAGGGCCCAGGTGTGTGAGGCCCTGGTTAGATTCTGGGCACAGCAAGGTCTCATTAAATGTCAGTGCCGTTTAAGGGCTAAAGGCACATGGTTCTTTGCAGGGTCTAACCCAGCAGGACTTTGGTAAGTCATTCTTCCTGTCTTTTACTTCACTAAACTATAAAACTGTTGCCTAATATTTAAAACATTTAAAAGCAGCAGTTCTCAGGCATTGCAAGCTGTTCTCTAATGATATTTCCAATTCAATCTGAGATTCCTGAATGAAATTTCTGTAGAAGGGTTACGTAAACGTTTTGCCTTTCAACCTGAAGTTCATTCAATATAATATTATAGAAGCAGTCCTTGTAAATATCTCACTTCAAGAGAGGTTGTTTTTTTTTCCTTTTCTTTTGCTCTTGGCAGTGGCTGTGACAAGTATGACAGCGCAAAACACAACACAAAGTTATAAATGTTACTTTTCTTCAGACAAGAAACAAAGTCATGGATTACCTAGGTGGATAGGTGGGAAACTGAGGCACTCTGCTTTCAGAAACTCCCACTCCTGTCTCATCCTGGGGCTATAAACTGAGAGCAATGTTACTGCCATTTCAGTTGGTGCTCCTGCCCCGTGTGGATGCTGATCCTTTCGAGGTCAGCCCTGAAAACGAATTTCACCTGCAGACAATGGAGCTCCTTGAGAGTGACAAGTTTAGGACCTGTCAAGCAAAGAGTATGAACCACTCATATCTCCAACCATCTAAAAAGAGACAGCAGCAGAAGAATACACAATTTAGGGAAGGTGCTTTTCATCACTTCAGTGGTTTTTTTGCCTTTACTTCAAGTTGCTGCACAAGTGCATTTTGGTCCCTCCTTTGATATGCACCTCCCAACACCCAAGGAAAAGATTGCCAAAATCTGATAACAAGCATGACCCCCTCTTCCTCACTGTCATCCTTTTGTCTCTGTTTCCTAAGTTCACACCTTTCATACAAGTCAGGATTCATCCCTGTCACAACCTGGAACACTCTCTGCTGGCATTCTTCCCTTGTTCCCTCTCAGCACTTTCTTTCCATCAACTCCTCTTACACCCCAGAACATCTGAAGAGCTGGCACAGCGCAGCCCATGTCAGGGACCATTGTCACAATTTAACACTGCAGATGATTGAATTAGAGGCTTTGGCACAGCACTGTTTATCAATATTAATGAATCTGAACCAAACATGCAATTCCTTGTGGGCCTTTGCCTCACTCTTCTCTTTCTCTTCTGGAATCTTGACCATCCACTCCATCTCTTTACCACCTCAAGCAGCTGCTCCAGAGGTACTGGGAGCAGAATTTAAGAGGTCACAGCTCAGTCCTTTTCAGTAGTGACACAGATGCATAATTAGGGGAGAGATGAAGTAGGAGGCAGGGAGTTGGGGGATACATACACTCAAAGGACTTTTCATGAGGGAGAGATCAAGAGAGTATGGTCTTTCGGGAGGTTGAAGTTTTTAAGAAAAATGTAAGACCCTTCTCCAAACCTTCACTCTAGCTTGTGGCTTTGTATATTACATAACAACACCATAACAGTACTTGGGCTTGGGGACTAGAAGGATAAATGGAATTTAAGAAATTAACTGTAAAGATGCAGAGCTCTGGCCACAGGTAAGATTTGCTGCCAGCATGGAGGTGTTTGTGTCTGGGCTGCCACTGCTGATATTTTGCACAGAGTCATCACTGGGATTCAGACTCTGGCAAAACTCTGACAAACTTGGATGTGACAGCACTGAGCAACTTTGCCTCCACAGCTGTGCTGGGCACCTTTCCTTCTGCCTTCCCAACGCAGCTTCCTGGCAAACTCATTAACCACATGGATGCACTGAAAATGCTTGGAACCAAAACGAGAACAGAAGGAATGAAATCAACTCTGCTGCCTAAGAAGCTGGGATTTACTTTTGTTCTTCATCTGCACCTTCCCCTGTCTGGGTGCAAAAAAAAGGAAATCTCTGCAGCTGATCTGGGACTTCACAAAGACAGGGATTACCCCCTGTAAATCCTGACAGGCCCCCGTGTTCACAGCCTGGCAAACACTACAACAGTAATCTCCTCTCTGAGATAAAGTCCATCAATCTTATTCTTACACCAACCCATTCCCCTCTGCCCCTCAGACAGAGCTCGAAGAAAAACCCTGCTCAGGAAAGATGCTAAAATCTGCCCTTCCTTGGCACCCTCCTATTTAACCTATTCTTTCATCTGGCCTCAAAGTCGGGTCAACACATATCCATTTTGTCTGCTGAGCTAACTAGTTTTCAATAACAATTTCTCCTTCGTTCTGTAACAGAGATCAATAAAACTGCCCCTCTCTCACATTGGATGAGATTCCAGCAACGTCATTTGCTCTTTATCGTTGCTACTTCTTTGTTTTCTTTCCTTTTTTTCTTTTTTTCTTTCCTTCTTCCCCCCTCCCTCCCTTTTTTTTTTTTTTTTGGCAAGGCACAGATCAATTTAACAAGATGAAAATGACTTAGAATTTCACTCAAGGTAAAATCTGCACTTTATAACCCAGGATGTAATTTACAATCCTGTCATTAAACTCTGTTAATCCCATTATTATGAAGATAAATAATTACCCATAGCGAAGAAAGGGATTCCCAACAGAGTAGAATTATATTTTCCATCAGTAATGAAAAATATCCCTGCCGCAGTGACACTGGAAATACAGATAGTGAGTACTCCCAGGAGGCCCAGGAAAGGTTTGCTACGCAGGCAGTCCTTCATGGAGCTCGAGAGGGTAGCAGTCAGGAGAATCAGCATCAGGCTCACCAAAATCTTGCCCCTGGCCAAGAGACTGGTCTGGTGGAAGTCCTTCCAGAGGCTAAAGGATGCTAGAGAGTAGAGCTGCAGATCTTGGTGATCCAGTTGCATCTTGTGCATCAGTTTACAGAATTCGCTCTCCCACTTCTCCCCAATGAGGTCCTGGGTGACAGAGCCATACGTTTGGAGGTAGTAAGTGATTTGGATGGCTCTGGCTGATTTGACTCTCTGGTCCTTGCTGTTTGGCACTTCCATGACCCCTCCAAGCTGGTGGCCAATAAAACTGCTCCTTCCATCCTGGGAGAGAAAGCAAAAGAGATGAGCATGTGGTTATCCTGCATACGATGTGACACAGCGATAGCTTTTGGCTCTGCCTTCCTCTCACAGACACCGCCAGAGCTCCACTAAAAGGCCACTGCACTGGGCAGGAGCCGTGCCATTCACTTCAGTGGGCTTTGGGATCTATCCCTGCTCCTTCACACAGCTCTGTCTTACTCATTACAGACTCATTTGCACTTCTCTGCTGCAGTTACAGATGTTCCCAGATGTTCAGGGAATGAAATGTGGAATGCAAGCTCCTTGCCCCATTCCACATTTAACTCTGATGGACAAATCTCCAGCTACTATGAAAAGTTTGAAATGAAGATCAACTTTTGGAAAATTTGTGATTTCTTGACACTTTGGAAATGGTTCTAAAAAGTTGGAAATGTACAGAAGACGAAGCCTGTTTCCTCAGTATACAGATGTAAATGTAGACATCTGCAAAGTTTAGTAGTTATTCTGGCTTCAGAAAAATATAATTAAAATCAGAATTTTTTGAATTGTGTATTTGAGATTTCATGGATTTATACCAGTGGCACAGAGAAAAGAATCTACCTTACACCTGGATTTAACCAAGATATGTTTTTTTTTGTTTTGTTTTTGGGTTTTGGTTGGTTGGTTGGTTGGTTTTGTTTTTGTTTTTTTTATATTTTGAGAATATAAACCTTATTCTGGTCTTACTTCTTTCAGTATATGCTAGGACACAAAAAACTCCATGACAATCAGTAAAGGACACATCAGGTGCATTCAAGATCAGCTTCTGTCTATTTACAAGACCAGACCTTTTTTTCTTTTATTGAAGGAAGGATTTAGTGAGAAAGGTCCTGTAAGGAAGTCCTTGGTCTTAAGCCACTGGTAATTCTAGTTCTCTAGGATAACTGTATGTGCCCCTTCCAAGACAAGGGAAGCTTGTGTGGATTTAGAAGATCAAATCCAGTTGCAAACTGAGGAAGAAGACTCAGTGGATAAAATTGTCCCAGCACAAGTAATATCTTTGATCAAAAGAGTCTAAACCCAGGGATTACATATCTGTTGCACACCAAATAACATTTTGCTTTTTCCCCCACATAAACTGAATTATGAGTTTTCAGATTTATTTCCTCTTGTATTTAATAAAAACATAAAATTATCAAGACAGTTGATGTCTACAGCATCTTGCAGCAGTGAGTTCACATCAGATAATACTCTTTGCCTAAACACACTATGGGAATGAGCTGACCACTTGAATTTGGGAGATGCTCTGCCCTACACACACACATGGAAGCAGTCATCTGCAAAAGGCCAGAACAATTTGAGGGAGATATTTTAATATCTATTACATCCAACATTAACCATTTCTAGAAGCACCTGTACTGCACACAGGTCATTATCTGAAATTGCCAGACCCATTCGTAGTAATGATTCCCATCCTAAGGAAAAATCAATGAAGCAGGACTTTATGAAACATAGGTGTCTTCCAGCATGTCTGCTCATAGAGAAAATAAATATCAGAAACAGGGAGACAGTGCTGAAAATGTTTTGTGTACTCACCTTGTCTTCAATCAGGTATGTAAAGGAGGTAATCCTCTCACTGACAAATTTCTGCCTATGCCTGCTTTCATGGCAGGAGCTCACACTGTTTCCGGCATTTGCCTGCCACAGCCCAGGGAACGTGACAAAATGCTTTTCAGAAGTTCATTTTTCCCCTATTCCCTGTTGTTATTTCCCACCGAAATAACGGCTTCTGGCAAGGTATCCTGGCGCGAGCTGACACGAAAGGTGAATTGCAGTCTAATGCCAGCTTCTCAAATCACCTGAAGCCTCATTGCAAATGTCACACAAGCAGAGACAGCTGGCACAGAGGGGCAGCTGGTGCTCTTTGGACTCCAAAAGATCCTCGTCCCCACCATTTCATGCTAGAATCCTGTTTTGATTATTTCTACTTTTTCTAAGGAGAGTTCACACTTAATATGCACACAAAAAATACATCTCCGAGCCAGTAATTAATGTTTGAGCAATGCAGTCCAGGCTCACATTGGATGCAACTTTGCAGTTAAAAATCCCATTTGGCACTGGCTTTGAAATTTTAGGGGAGAAATGTCATATTTCCTCAGCACGTGTATGTGCTGTGCTGACATTCAGAGGTTTGCAGCCGCTGCAGGGAGGCTTTAGCAGCACAGCTCCAAACCCAGCCCATACACTGTAATTCAGGTTTCATTGCTCCACTGTGCAGCACACACACCAAGGTTATGGGAAACTTTGTGATGACCATCTGCCTTCCCCTGCGAAAAGTGCACCGAGCAATGGCAACATTTCAAAAGAGGCAGCGGAGCAGCCACAAATAAATCATGTTCTGCCATATCTCCCACGAAACAGCAGATAACAGCTATTTTTTACACTGATGTACAACAGGGCACCCAGCTCATATGTCAGCAAAACAGAGAGTAAGCTTTCGGATGGAATTGAGGAAATCACAGATGCTGGATTTCTTTGAGGTCGTTTTGTCCATTCCTTTGCTTCCAAAGGCAGATTGTTGCCTATCTAAGCAAGGGGTTTGCCTTTGCTGCTTTTATAACATGCAAGCATGAATCTGGTGTCACAACACATGGGAAAATGGGGCCCTTCTC